CACGCTGCAGCACGAAGCCACGGCTGCCGCCCTGCGCAAGAAGCACGCGGACAGCACAGCTGAGCTCGGGGAGCAGATCGACAACCTGCAACGCGTCAAGCAGAAGCTGGAGAAGGAGAAGAGTGAGCTCAAGATGGAGATTGATGACCTGGCCAGTAACATGGAGTCTGTCTCCAAAGCCAAGGTACACAACTATTTCTTCTAATCAATTCAAATGTAATCAAGTACTTATATTTAAGCATAGAAATTGAAGTCATACTTTAGAATAAATAACTGCACTTTGCAACTTGACTTTGTTTTTATACTAATTTCTTAATCCTTTGTGTGAGGTCTAAAAAACTGTAACACCTAACCTAAGGATCTGTGGAATCTCATTTCTTGTTCAGAGTATTATGACAAAAATGAAACACACTGACCTTACTGCTTTTTAATTTCTCCTAAAATAGAAGTTGCTCCTAGAGTAGTAAATTACCCTCTCCTTTATATTCCTATGTTTCTTTTCCTCCTTTAAATACTTCAGTGACATAATTTTTGAACAACACATAGAATTTTAAATTTGTTCCTCATTTTACAGTGTCCCATCATCCTTTTTATCTGTTTAAAATAGATTAGTGTATAATAGTAATACAGTAATAATTATTAATAAAAATTTGTGTCTGTATTAGGTATAGAATCATAGAATCACAGAACAGTTTGGGTTAGAAAGGACCTTACTTATGTCATCCCCCCTGCAATAGGCAGGGCATACACAAATGTTGGAATCAGAGACGCAAATTTCATAGAAATGTCTTTAATTTACCTGAGATTTTTTAACTTCTAAATAATTGATTATTTTTCCTTTGTAAGATTTGAGATTCTGACTAAGTTGAACCACCAGTCATCTTTCCTTCTTTTCTTCATGCAAATAGGCAAACCTGGAGAAGATGTGTCGCTCCCTAGAAGATCAACTCAGTGAGATTAAGACAAAAGAGGAGGAACAGCAGCGCACAATTAATGACATTAGTGCTCAGAGAGCTCGGTTACAAACTGAATCTGGTAATATATTTGTGTTTCTAAGAGAATATTTGTGTTATATGACCTGGGTTCTTTAAAAAAAGAAAGATACTTGAAAATTGAACATGAGACAGAAAAGCATTCTTGTTGTGCAGATGGCCAACAGAACCCTGAGAGAATCCTGAGCTGCATTAGGACAAGTGTTGCCAGCAGGTTAACAGAGGGTGATCCTTCGCTCTACTCAGCACAGATGAGGCCATGCCTGGATTGCTGTGCTGAGTATTAGGCTCCTCAGAACCAGAGAGATACAGTCAGCCTGGAGCAGGAGCAATAATAATATCTTTAAGGGACTGGAACAACTAGTCCCTGGAATAACTCCCCAGGGGCTTGGTAGAGTGATCACTAGGGGGTTTCAAGACACGACCAGGCGGCGTGCGAGATAACCTCATCTAGACTCCCTTTCCCACAAAAGGTTGCACCGGATGACCTTTCAAGATCCCTTTCAACTGGGACTTTTTCATGATTATATGACTAGTGTTTCAAAGAATTCATCTATCTCATAACCTAGATGTCATCCTTCTGCTTTCCAGGAGACATTCAGAAGAGGATAGTGATATACCTGAGCACGTATACCATGCTGTAGAATCATCAAATAGTTTAGGTAGAAAGGTCATCTAGTCCAACCCCCCTACAGTGAGCAGGGACAACTTCAACTATATCAGGTTGCTCAGCACCCCGTCTAACCCAGCCTTGAATGTTTAAATGATGGGGCATCCACTACATCCCTGAACAACCTGTGCCACCCCTCTCATTTGAAAAATCTTATTTCTTATATCTAATCTAAATTGAACCTCCTCCAGCTTAAAACATTATCACTTGTCTTATAGCAACAGGCCCTTATAAAAAGTTTGTCCCCATCTTTCTTTATAGGCCCTGTCAAGTATTGAACAATTGCAATAAGGTTTCCTCAGAGTCTTCTTTTCTCCAGGCTGAACAATCCTAATTTTCTCAGCCTTTCGTCATAGCAGAGGTGCTCCATCGCACTAATCATCTTCATGGCCTCATCTGGACTCACTCCAAGAGGCTGATGTCCTTCCTGTGGTGGATACCCCAGAGCTGGATGCAGTAGTCCTGGTGGGGTTTGACAAGAGTGGAGTAGAGGGGTAGAATCACCCATCTCCCCTGCATACCCTGTGGGATGTGGCCAGGACACATTTGTTTCTGAGCTCCCAGCACACACAGCCAGGACAGGGCTGCTCTCGATCTGTTCATCCTCCAGCCTGGACTGATACGGGGGGTTATCACAACCCAGGTGCAGCACCTTGCACTTGGCCCTGTTAAACCTCATATGATTCCTGTGGGCCATAAGCCCTCTGGATGGCACTCTAGTGTTCAGTCTGTAAGCTTGAGGGGAGCAAAGGGCTTAGAGCAAACAAAGAGTAAGACTAGCTGGATTTTACACAGGAGATCAGATCTTGCCTTTAAGTAAATACTGTGGCATTGTAAGAGAAGTGGATAGGTATATCAGTGATTATGAATACATGAAAGAAATAAAATTTTGATTTACTCAAAATATTTTATATGTGCATTCAATTATCAAGGTTAACATTTCTACGTAAGTCATGTCAAGGTTGTTTTACTCACCTGAACTCTCTCAGGTGAATATTCACGCCAGGTGGAGGAGAAGGATGCTCTGATTTCTCAGCTGTCAAGAGGCAAACAAGCTTTCACCCAACAGATTGAGGAACTCAAAAGGCATCTAGAGGAAGAGATAAAGGTGAGAAGGCTTTCCAAATTCTGAGTTATCTAATGGATTCCTTCTGTGTAGGAGGAGCTTCAGATGCATATGAAATTATAGAATCAAAAAGATGAGAGGAAGGAAAAAAATATTTGCGTAATTCAGTCCAAGTCCTCCCATAGTAGTTTTACTCTCCCTTCCCTGTAGCCTATCCATTAATTTTTTTACACATTCCCAGATCTTCTATTTTCATTCAGTGGTTTGTCATAACTCACAACAGAACCAATGTCCATCAACATTTCAGTCAGGAGATTTTCCAGGATATTGCCATTCCTGGACCCAATCCCACTCTCTTCTAGGCCAAGAACGCCCTGGCCCACGCCCTGCAGTCCGCTCGCCACGACTGTGACTTGCTGCGGGAACAATATGAGGAGGAGCAGGAAGCCAAGGGGGAGCTGCAGCGCGCCCTGTCCAAGGCCAACAGCGAAGTGGCCCAGTGGAGAACCAAATACGAGACAGACGCGATTCAGCGCACGGAGGAGCTCGAGGAGGCCAAGTACGTGGGGAGGGTGGGGAAGGCTGGCAGGGAATAAGAATGGAAATTTGAAGAAACTCCTGAGATATTCAGGAAGAAGTCAGTGTTGTGCTTTTTTTTGGAGTGCCACAAAGAGACAAAATATAACTGACATCAACTGGGAAAAACAGAAGCAGCAAAACTCTTTAGGTGCAGAACAGCAGAGAGGTTCCAGTGTGAATAGCAGAGAGGGAAATGCTGCAGCCCAGGATTCAGACATGGAAATAGAGTGGCTGTCTGGGAGAAGTCCCACATCTCCCTGTGAATGGTGGTCACACACTACCAAGTAACTAAGTCT